ACCATCCCGTTCTATCTATCCATGACAAAACAACGCCTGTTTCGTAGTGCTATCAGTTTTTGCCTTCCATTAGACGTCTCGCACCTAATGAACGATTCCAATGCTGCCAGTCCATTAACGTCAAAGTTGTCGATTCTCATGTTCTTGGCTTCTTATCCTGTTTGCTGAGCAGTGATTAATGGATACTGGAAATACTCCGATGATCGCTTGGCGTTCCCATATGAATCCGTGTTCGTCCCTGCTCTACACTTCTGATTAGTTGGATGGTATCATTGACAGAGTTCTGGTCTGAAAATCAAATTAGTCACACCTTGGCTTCGGGAAGTGTCCAACCTGTCAACCTGTCTCCCTAGGGTAACAATCACAATACGGTCTTTGCTATTTATAATGGCGATTAGACCACTGCGACAGAGGAAGAATATAGGCTAATCTTCAGTCAAAGACCATTTCCGTGTGCTCCGCTATGACATGGCTGAGGATGGATGTAAGGCAAGCAAGAGGTTTTTGTCCAGGAACGCATTGATTGCATTTCTTTCGAAAATAGGTGCGAGACTCGTTATTATCTTCAGCTTCACCGTTATCACAATCTGATAGCGCAACTGAGTCCAAGTAGCAAGGGTCCCGCTACGCCTACGGGAACATGAGAGAAAGTCGAAAAAGATGGCAATGATGGGCAGTGAAGACATTCAGTCCAGATAGTAACCGTACGACATCCTTCGTAGCGTCATCTGTCTTGGTTCAGAGTCGCGAAAGAACCGCGTCCTTGGCAGCCGTGTGCTAATCGATATCCTATTTCAAAACATATGCCTTCACTTAAGCCGTGCATACTTACGAATAGTTACAATGGGACAGTGTCGTTTATTCTTCGAACTTCATTAAAGAATCTAAATTGATTGATTGATAATCTTTTTGCTGCACAAGGGACTGAAACTTAGCGGGGAATGTAGAGATGTCCACATGCTTGCGTGATTGACATTGCAGAAATGAAGTGGAATCCTGTGTTTTTGTTTTTGTACGTAAGAATCAATTGACTGGCTGCGATAATTCATTCCTTCTCAGTTCGTTCACCGAGTGTGGTGAGAACACAATCAATTCGAACTTTTTCGTTTATTCTGTCGTTCACTTCAAGTCAGATTCTGAAAGCTCCCGGACAGTTTTCTTATCGGAGAATCGATGGGTTATGGTGTGATATGGACCGGCCATTTGGGAAGCCTACTTATTCAGTTGTTGACAAACGATTTTAACCATGCATGAAGGGTTCGTCGCCTCTGCCCCTTGATAAAAAGGTTGTCCCATCAGCCGATAATGGGATAGGTAAATATTATTGCGGAATAGTAAAATGGATAGATGTGTTTGCGACGTGATTGTGATCTGGAGGGTTTCTCCTTCTTTCCTTACGTCTTCCTCTTCCCTCACCTTTGCCTCCCTCTCTCGGTTGTCTCCATTGTAAGTTCGATGAGTAAACGTCTGACTATACCATATCATGTGTTATCGCATTACTTTTACAAAGAAATTTGCTCGTTTCAGTTATGATTTCATCATTGATGTTCCCAATATCGATTTTTTATTTATTTTGTTTCTGGTGAGTAAACGTCTGACTATGCCATACCCTGTGCTATGGCATTATCACTTTTGTTAACTAATTTTTTAAAAGTATAGTGTTGATCAGAAATGAGGCTAGATTCGATGTTTGAAATTTCACCGTTTCAGCCTCCTTCCCAGCATGAGACTCGAAGAGCTGGTGACGTTGATGTTGGTCGTGACAGCGGTGTTCTTCAAAAACCTTCCTCTTGGGGTCGTTTTGGGGCTCGTACTATCCCTGTACATAGCTATTGTCTACGGCGATTTCATTTATCGTTCCTATCTAACCCTTAACCGTGACGTCAGGTAATTTTGTAGCTTCCCAATATTTCAATTTTTATTTATTTCTATTTTCAGCGGCCTATATTTGATATTAGACCTCAAGTTCGATTTATGGAAGAAACTACGAGAAAATCGTGGCCTCCATGAGATCTTTCTGGACGTCGTTAAACGGTAAGGTCAAAAGTTTTGAGGAGTGAGTTCAATCGTGAACGTCTAACCTTTTCAACCGACCAAACCCACAATCCTTTCAGAAATAGCCAAAAAACAGCTATGATCGACATTGAAACCGGTCGCTCCTTCACCTTTGAGACGTTCAACAAGGAATGCAATCGATACGCGAACTTCTTCCAGGTAACCCAACAAATTGAGCTTGGACTGGTTGCCCAAACCATCTGGAATTGGCAGTTACCTAATTTCAGGAGCAAGGTTTCCGTGCCGGGGATGTGGTGGCACTCTTCATGGAGAATTCTGTAGACTTTGTTGCGGCATGGGTGGGCCTCTCCAAACTCGGCGTCGCTACGGCTTGGATTAACTGTAACCTGAAGAGAGAGCCACTGGCCCATTGTATTCAAACGAGCCGCGCCAAGGCCATCATCACCACCCGACTACTTCAACCTGGTAATTGACACAGTTAAAACTTCATGATGAGGCAACAACTTGGTTGACAATGAGGACGTTAGGAGACTGACGAAAGGGAGAGTTTTCAGACCAAGGAGGCGTAGTTTACTCTGGGGATAGAAGATGTATTTTCTTTTTCCTTCAATTTTAAGGCCATTACTGAACTCTTTAAAATAGTGAAAAATTGGGATTTGAGGCTGACCAACCCTACAAGCCCAGCTGTTACCTAAGCTTGCTCTCGCAGTGCACAAGAGATAAACAAACACATAAATAAATAAATAAGCTAACAAAGAACTACTGAAGCGACTTCAATATTCTTTTGCCCCACCTGTAACTACTCTATGAAAAGGAAACGGTTTGAAACAAGCAAATAATCTTTTAGAGATAGCCCCTTTGCAAATAAATAATTTATTTTCCAGTACTCGAAGATAGTATTACCGATAAACTGCTCGATTGTGATGGAATGACTTTGTATATAATTGGTCAATCCGAGAAGAATTCTCAATTCATTCCTCTCACTGAAAAACTCACTACTCAGCCAACAAGTGAGCCAAAACGGTTGGACGTGATTGACTTCAAAAGTGAGTGCTTTAGAAAAATTTCTTGAATCGTATTTTTTCTACAATCTCGCTTCCTTTTTTGGATTATAACTTATTAAAGATTTGTCGCAGATCATCCAACCTTGATGAGTGCTCATGGCATCTTCTAGAAGTAAGGATAGAGTGAAGGATAAACCTTTTGGCTCAATCAATCCTATCTGAGGGATGTGTCCCCGCACTCGACTACCATTCAGAATCGTAGTGGCGTAGCGGGTGCGTTTGTGGCCTATACAATGACTTGCGGTAGCCAGCCGATGTACAAGTCAGTGCTTTTACCCTCTCAGACACTCAGGTCTGGTACCAATTAACCGACTCCGGAGGGATGGAAGGCCTGGTTGGCTTAGGTGAATATCAATCTGGGGTTCGAACCCGTAACCATGAGTGTGTGAAGTGCGCCACTTGCCACTACACTACCTCCGCCCTTCTAGAAGTAAACTTGTGAATGTAAAATGTTACATGAACTTCTGGTCTCCAGAGGAAAATTCTACCACTATACTTTTTTTCAACTGCTGTTTTTTAATGCAATTTTATGTTGCCCCCATAAGTTTCTTCTTGATACTAGTAAGCTTCCAGCCGTTTGGCGTTCATTAATCCCATGGCCAGCTTATGTAAAAGTCAAGTTTCATCTCCCCATGCAAACCTGGTATCAAATAATCAAACCTGGAGGGATAAAGGGCGTGGTCTCAGTGGGCTCCTGCCGAGTGTCTCTGTTACAAGGGTGTTCTACCTCTTGATTTTCTCGAAAATGAAGGTTTACCAAACTAGTAACTTATATTTATACCTACAATTATACTATTACCTGCATGCCTTTTTAGGACCTCTAAATTTATATCTTACTCACTCTGATTCTAATTTATATGTCACTCTGATGACTTTTATTTAATCAGAATTCTCGTTAATTTCAAAGAAATATCATAATTTTCTACCTATTGTGGTAAATTTCACAAATAAAAAAAATGAATTTATAAATAAAATATTTCAGGTGTTTTATGTTTTATTTACACGAGTGGTACAACAGGAATGCCAAAAGCGGCTGTTATGAAACATTACCGGTGGGTCCTTTCATCAGATTCTCTTTATTTTCGCGACACCAAAGCTGCTTGAGCGCTATCATATTGTAACCTCAGGGTAAAATTAGGGGGAACAACAAGATTAACAAGATTTTTAAGAACATTGCATCCTATAAGCCCTCCTCACAACAGTCCATGCATACACCTTGATGACTATTTGCTCTTATAAAGTTTTTCTTATACTTCCCTCCTAGTAAATGTTGTGTTGATAGTTGTTCCGATCGATCGCTTGTTTTTAATCATACTTTCTCTACTTTAAAACTTAAAGTATTTAATTGTATTTATTTTTGCATTTTTTACAGCTATTACTCGATGGTAGTTGGCGCAGCCAAATCGTTCGGTGTATATCCGTCGGACAGGATCTATGTGTCCATGCCTATTTATCACACCGCTGCAGGTATTTTAGGTGAGGAGCTATCTCTATTGAAATTCGTTGTGAGAGAGGCGAGAACACCCAAATTGTTGCTATGCCGTGGTTCTATGGGTACAGGAGAGATTTGAAAAACGGATGTTCGCGGTTTTCAGGAGTAGGTCAAACGATAATTCGTGGATCGTGTTGTGTGATTCGTAAGCGATTTTCGGCAAGCAACTTCTGGAAAGACTGTGTGAAGTATCAGTGTACGGTAAGCAACTTGTAGCTATTGTATTGCCAATCTTAGAAAGGCAGTTTTGCAGTAGATATTTTAAAACAGCATGTCTGCGTTATCCTTCACCTTCATGTCAAGAGGTACGAGGAGGGGTTACTCTTAGTTCATAGCGTGGGCTGCAAACATGGCTATTTTCACGAACAAAGACGGAGCGGTCACCCGATAGCTTGGATGATTGGTCCCCGAGCTCAAGGGCCCGTGTTCCCCGGTCTCATTGCCAGCTTAACGGCACAGTTCAGATAAAAATGGTTTCTGAGCTTTCCCCATAGGAGAGTTTCACCGGCATTGCAGAGGCTGCGCCATTCACGGGGAAACCATGTAGGAGGCTCAGGTAACTTGTTATGACCCATGGCGACAGTGAAAGGCAGCTCTGTACAGTTCTGGCTTGATGTAGTCAGCTCTGGAATGCTGAATGCCGTCCAAATACCCTTCCCATTGATATTTCCGTCACGGTCATCTTGTCCAAGCTTTACTTTGCCTATTTTTGAGGAGGCCTGTTTTTCTCGAAATTCGCGCATTTTCTCGCTTTCTTCACTACCGATGAACAATACCCAACTTATAGTTCCGGTTTTTTAATAAAAAAGGTACCTCGAAATTATCGTGAACTGTGCCTTTAAAAGCAAGCTTACAGAATGTTCATCATCTGTCTTGCTCTAGGTCCAGGCTCATAGTACATTGAGAGGAAAACGCGTAGTGGTCCCCTTAGTAACCAAAGCCACGTG